GCTAGACACGGATGCTAGCAACACGGGCATTGGGGGGGTGCTCTCACAGGTCGTCGGGGGAGTCGAAAGGGTGGTCGCCTATGGTAGCAGGGTTTTGTCGCCGGCGGAGCAGCGCTACTGCGTCACCCGTCACGAGTTGCTGGCGATTGTTTTTTTTGTGCAGCAGTTTAGACCGTATCTCTATGGCCGTCACTTTACGGTCCGGACGGACCACGCGGCGCTTCAGTATTCATTGAGGGTCGCCCAGCCCTCGGGCCAATTGTCACGGTGGTTGGAAGTCCTCCAGGACTATCAGTTCACGACCACATACCGTAAGGGGTTGCGCCACACTAATGCCGATGCCCTGTCGCGATTGTCGCCTTGTCACAAATGTGCATGCTTGTTGGGATCGGCGCGCTGTAAACCGCCAGCTGCGGAAAGTATGGGGGTGTTGGCCGCTACCCCGGATGCACCGATCGGTGATGTTCCCGCTACCCCTGTGGGAGAGGACTCGCTGCTCTCACTGTCGCTGATTGAGTGGGGCCGTCTCCAAATGGCTGACAGCTCCCTGCTAGCGTTGCGTCGCAGGGCGGGGGGTCCCGAGGAGGGCCGGGAACGAACTGGTTCCTGGGTACTCAGGCAGGGCCTGTTAATGAGATGGGACAATTTGTATCGGCGCCACGCACTCGTGGTGCCTTCCGTTGTGCGGGGGAAAGTTGTCCTGGCCGCGCATGAACGCCTCTTGCATTTGGGGGTAAACAAAACGCTTGCTCTGCTTCAGCGTGACTATTATTGGCCGGGGATGGGAAGTGATGTGGTGAATATCCTAAAGGGGTGTGTTGAGTGCGCCAGACGAAAACCACCGCCAGTGGCGTCAAATCCACCACTGCAATCTATTCAGGTCTCGCGCACTAACGAGCTCGTGGCGCTCGATATTTTGGGGCCTTTTCCAGTCACGCCTAGGGGTAACAAGTACCTGTTGGTTGGTGTAGAATACTTTACCCGGTGGCCTATGGCGTGGCCACTCGCCAACCAGTCGGCGGCAGCTGTGACGGACGCCTTTGTCCAGTGCTATGTTCTGGACAAAGGGGCTCCCGAACGCTTGCTGACCGACCAAGGGAAACATTTTTCAAGTAAATTGTTGCAAGAGGTGTGCGACCTATTGGGTACTAAGAAGGTGCGTACCTCCCCGTACCACCCACAGACAGACGGGATGGTGGAGCGACTCCACAGGACTTTGACTTCTATGCTGTGCCAGCGGGTGTGTGAGGCACATGTTGACTGGGACCTGCAGGTCCCTGGGGTCCTCGCCGTGTATAGAATGGCCCCCCATGCAGCAACGGGATTTTCCCCATTCTATCTGATGTATGGTCGGGAAGCCGACCCGCCCATGGAAACGCAGCTGGGACTGTCCGCGCCACGAACGAATTCGAAATTGGCTGAACATATTAAATTTAACATTCATAAGCTGGCCGAGGCACGGGAGGCCGCACGGCTTAATTCGCGGGCTCGCCAAATTGCCAACGAGCGTTTGCGTGCACGGAAGGTGTCCGTGCACAACTGGAAACCAGGCGACAGGGCCTGGCTGCACTGCCCTCAGGCACCTTTGGCTACGTCGCCTAAATTGTTGAGGCCATGGCGGGGACCCGTGGAGGTCGTGCGGGTTGCACGCCCCCAGTGTGTTCATATAAAATGGGGAAAGCGCCGTTGGTACGTTCACCCCTCCCGACTGAAACCGTTCTCGCCTCCATATGGCCTCCCTTTGTGTCATGAGGGCCGAGCATGTGACGTGACCGACGACCTAAGGGGGGAATTGTCTCCGCCTGATCCTCACATGTCTCCGCCTGATCCGCTCCCAGGTGTCCCGGAACTGACAGCTGCCGACCACCGGCGGCTGGATCCCCGCGGTGCGACCGGTCCTTCCAGGCCCGATCCGCGCCTTCCAGGGCTGCCGGAGCCACCAGACGGTCGTCAGCGTCCCGTCCCATACGATGGACCGGCCAGGCGGACTCGCGCTCAGTCGCGCAACTTTTCGTGACCAACCGGCTGAGGAGCCGATGCGGCCGGAGAACCTCGTCACTGCGTTCCCCGTCCGCTCGGCCGCTCTAGCACCCCGGTGGGGGAGCGAGCGGAGGGGGGGGGGGATCGATAGTCTCAGAGACACTGGACACGTTCTTTTTCTCGGACTTGCTTTTATTGCGTTGTTCGTCGGTTTGTACGTAACTTGTTGTCTAGGTGTTGTGTGTTGTTGTTGGTTTTTTTTGTGTGTTGGTTGTCGGTTTGTACATAGGTTGTTGTTTGGTGTTATGTCGTTGTGTTGTTGTTGTTGTGTTACGGGGCACACTGGGGGGGGGGTTGGGTTTTTGTTGTGTTACTATTGTTATTGTTGTTGTGTTGTTTAGCAGCCGGGCCGGCTGCGAGCTATGTGGGAGGGGGTGATGTAGTGGTGATACGCGCTGACAGTGGGGATCGTGGGGCAGTGCGTGGTGATTGGCTGTGTGCCGGTGACGCGCGCTGACGGTGAGGGATCACAGGGCAGCGCGGGGTCATGGGTTATGTGGTGGTGATTGGCTGTGTGTTGGCGACGCGCGCTGACAGGGAGTGATCGTGTGGCAGCGCGGGGCGATTGGTTGTGTAGTGGTAACACGCGCTGGGAAAACGGATCGTAGGAACAGCGCGCCGTGATTGGTCGACTAGTGGGCGCTCACATCACGGTCTGCAAGAGGGCTATATAAGGCGGTGCGCGCGGGCGCTCGGGGAGTTGGTGACCAGCGAAGACTGAAGACGGCGGAGGAAGAGATAGGGCCCTGCGGCACCTAGTCCCGCTGCCCTTGTAAGGACCGGGGCTCTGTGTGACCCAGAGGCGGGACCCTGGGACCCGGGGCCGAACGTCCGTGTGAGGGCCGGCTCTCGGGACCCAGAGGTTGTGACCCACGCCCAAGCTGGGGTGGGTCTGTAGGCTCCACGGACGTTACGGGGCTGGAGTGTAGTGTGAGCATGCAGTGTGAGCATGCAGCGTGAGCCATAGTCACTACACGTGTCAGTGGAGTGTGTAGTGGGAGAGGTAGTGACCACCCGTGTCAGTGAAGTGTGTGTAGTGTGAAGAATAGTGACCACACGGTGTATCGAGACAAGTCAAAGTTTAATAAAAAGTGTGCTACCCGTCAAGAGGTTTCCTGCCGTCATTCCGAATACTTCACTTGTAATAAATAAGCGTTGCCTCTACCCAGTCGTCTACGCCATCTTAAAGAACCCACTACACATGTAATGACAGCTAAATGAAGTGGCTTATCGCGTAGACATTTATAGCAGCCCAATACTCATTATTCTAAACGTGGAAGTGAAACTGGAGGATCCAGATAAATATCCATTCTACCACGGGAAAGAGAGAGACACGTAAACTCCAAATATACAGCAGGCGTCAGGGTCGGGATCGAACCCACGACATCCTGTACACCAGGTGAGGTAGTTAACATCTCCTAGCCGCCGTGGCGCTTTAATGTGGAATGATGTTCTGAGCCTAGCGTGAGTGTCTTGTGAACCATGATACTTCTCATCCTATTGTCTCCCTTTAGTTGGCTGTCGGCATCCTGAACAGAATGAAATAATAATAGCTTGTTAACTCATGAATATCATATAATATGAAGTAGGAGGAGGGAGGGAGGGGAGGGGATAGAGGGTGGGAGAGAGGGGAGACACTCTATCCCACACATACTGAATAGATCTCCATTCTGAGGGGCTGGTGACCGGTCTTGTGTGGGAAATGTGATCAGAGTGAAATATATAAATATATAATAAATATTTGCTCATTTTAATATTTTATCACCTCCAATGTGCACGCTCCATTAGTTATTAACGCTCTTAGTTGCCATGAAGCCCCCATCCAAAAATTTGGCATCACCCAAAGATTATTCTTCACCGCTCCACCCCCCCCCCCCAATTTGTTTTATTTGAGGAACCAGTCCCAAGCAGTGCCAATGGTGGATCACGCAGCAACATCGCACCAGCACCACGGTGCGTCTACCACTACCACACCGCTGTTCATCGCACTACGACACTTTTATTTCTAAATGTATACACACGTATATTCATATTTTTATACAACATAAAAAAATACGTATTTAAATAATTATTAATTAACGTATAAATGTGTATAATAAAACATATATTTGTGGTGGTTTTTGTGGTGGTGGTGGTTGTTGTTGTTGTTGCTGCTCTGCCGTCGCCTTCTGGCCAGCACCAGGGCCACGTGGCGCCTCGTCGACTCGCCCTCACGGGGAGTTCCCAGCAGCGTCAGTGGTGATCCACCAACCTCTCTCCCCCCACAGTGCTGGGTCACAGCGAGGCTGCAGGTTGCCCCTCAGTGCCTCTGTTTGTTTTTTGTTGTCGCCAACGCGGTGATGTGGTGACGTCACAGCGAGGCTGCAGGGTGCCCCTCAGGGCCTCTGTTTGTTTTTGTTGTCGCCAGTGCGGGACCCCCGTGGCGGGAATCCAGAATGTCAGAATCTGTGTTTGTAGTGCAGGAGGAATGCGATGAGCTGTGAAGCTCTTTGTGTTCACAGATGGTGCAGTGGTGAGGGGCGGGCGTGGGGGGAGCGCGTGGGAAGGTGGGGGGAGAGGGGGAGGAATGACGTGGTGTTGTCACCGCGTTGGGGGAGCGTGCGTGGTGACGTAACCGCGTTGGGGGACCGTGCGTGGTGACGTCACCACGTCAATGACACAGCAGCAGATAACTTGAACAGCTCGGACATTGTTGGCGCCTTTTGTGTTTGGCGCCATATCTTTATTTGTTTATTAATATGTAGATTGAAATTGCTTGGCAGTGGCTGTGTAGATGATTTGGTTCTCGTGTTTAATTAATGAACATCGTTGCGGGATGCAGAGAGCACGAATGAAGCTGTACACAACTACATTGTTGTTGTTGTTTGTCTTTTGTATTTTTATTGTAGAATCAACGATACAAGGATTACAATGCCACTGTCATGTGTACATTTATACTTTTTAAAATTAATATTATGATTGGTGTTGTATCTCTCCCACAATCCATGCCACCACTAGTGCTAATCACTGCACCCCTACACTACAGTCACACTCCTCTGGCAGTGTGAATACACCCACGTTACATTCACACACACAGAGTGGTACTTATTTTATCACCCGCCAACCGCCCCGTTGCGATGGTAAGCCACGCAGCCCCTAGCCACCGACAGCCATTAGCCAGTCACGGGCGTGGCACTGCGCGTGATGGTGACAAGGGTGGCATGCGCCGTGCGTCGTTGTGTCTATCCCTCGATGCTGTTCACGTTTACCTCTCTCAAGACGCACCACTCAGATCCACAATCCTCAATGAGTCACCGCACCACTCCACTGCCAACCCAGGATGTAGGGGCTGAGTGAAGGTTTGGTGGAACGAGTGCAACAGCGCCATGGAGTCGGCACTGTAAAACGACAGCATCCCTGCGTCCCAGTCCAGATGAACCCCGACTCTCAGCGGAGGCTCGAGCACCAACAGTGAGGTCTCTACCCCGCTATGCCTCACTGAGAAGATGTCGCCACGTTTCTGTAGACACCAGGAGACGTCACTCCCTCCCAGGAGGCACTCAGCACCACCCCTTCTCCGTTGGATCGTCCCGTACGCGACTCCAACCCGACACCACCTCGCGCTCCCCACGTCCACCTCCCAGTAGTGATGACCCAACGAGTAGCTCTCAGAGCACAGGGCTTGTGGCCAGTACTCAAAGCGGTATAGGTGATGAGGGCGACGCTGGGGGACACCGCTGCACGTCGCCGTCCTGAGATCCGAGGAAATGTGGAGGTCGTCGTGGGCTGAGTTTGTGTCCAGAGTCGGTGAGCGTCCATCTGTGGTGAGGACAGCGACGAAGCTCGCACTGCGGTCATGGCGACGCATGCGCAGTAGTGGCAGGAGGAGTGCACGGGGCGTGTTCACACACATACGCTGCGTGTTGTGTTGTCTGTTGTTTTCTTGTAGGCATACCGCAGTACGTGATACATTGATACATAACACAGTGATTTTCACATGTATGACAAATTTGTAGTGGCTTTGTTAGGCGTTATGTATAATCGCCATTGATCCTTACCTGCAGTAGCAGACATGGGTGAACAGGGGGTGGAAGACAGGCTAAATCAGACATGGGTAAAGTACGGCCCGTTGGGCTTTTTAATCCGGGCCGCCGAACTTGTCCAAAAATATTCAATTCAATTTTACCTTCCTCCTGTAATGCCCCCATTTCCCCATTAGATGGCGCACTTTGACCGGGAGTGTGGTGTATAGGGCTCGAACGCCAACAAAGCCCGTCACAGATCAAAGTTAACGGATCAGCACCTCAAATCTATCCTGAGAATTTCCACAACAAAAATAACTCCAGACTTGGAATTACTGGCAAAAATGGGAGATCAACAACACTGTTCCCACTGAAACTGAAAGTGATGATGTGTTGCTGCAGCGAGGTTGGTGCCAAATCTCCGACACACAGCCTGCGTGGCTGCTCTAACCTGTTAATGTAGATAAACACGTTCCTTCGGAGTGGACAGATAGGAACTTGGTTCGATAGCGCGGCGTTCAGGGGGGGGGGGGCAGTTGGATGAGTGGACATGTTTACCTATCCCCCCCACCCTTCCCGACATCGTCAACCAATCGCGGCATTGCTCAGTGTTCAGTGTGGTGGGGTTTGCATGAGTGGGCGTGTTTGCACCCCACCTCTACCAATGGCGGCCCCGCTCGGCGTTTGGGGGGGGGGGAATTGGATGTTTGGGCGTGTTTACCTTCCCCCCACCCTCCCCGACATCCTCAACCAATCGTGGCCCTGTTCGGTGGTCGGTGGGGGGGGGGCATGGGTGGGCGGAATCCCGTGTATGCACGACAGACAGAGAGACAAATAATCCCTGGTGGGAAGTGTGACTCACACACACATACGCTCACTCTCACACTCTCAGACTCACACACACACTCACTCTCAGACTCACACACACACTCACTCTCACTCTCTCAGACTCACACACACATACACTCACTCTCACACTCTCAGACTCACACACTCACACTTTCAGACTCACACACACACACTCTCAGACTCACACACACTCTCAGACACACTCACACTCTCAGACTCACACTCAGATACACTCACTATCGCTCTCAGACTCACACACACACTCTCACACTCTCAGACTCACACACACACACTCTCAGACTCACACACGCACACACTCTCAGACTCACACACACACTCTCACACTCTCAGACTCACACACATACACTTACTCTCACACTCTCAGACTCACACACACACACTCAGCGCGGCGTTCAGAGGGGGGGGGGCAGTTGGATGAGTGGACATGTTTACCCATCCCCCCCACCCTTCCCGACATCGTCAACCAATCGCGGCATTGCTCAGTGTTCAGTGTGGTGGGGTTTGCATGAGTGGGCGTGTTTGCACCCCACCTCTACCAATGGCGGCCCCGCTCGGCGTTTGGGGGGGGGGGGAATTGGATGTTTGGGCGTGTTTACCTTCCCCCCACCCTCCCCGACATCCTCAACCAATCGTGGCCCTGTTCGGTGGTCGGTGGGGGGGGGCATGGGTGGGCTGCATTCCGATGCACGACAAATAATCCCTGGTGGGCAGTGTGGAACATGTTGTTCCTACCTGTATAACAGGTCCCTGCGGGGTGGGCTGGTAGGAACGAATAACCAAAGAATATAAACATAATGTATTATTACACTTGTTTAGCCAGGAAAGCCTCAGTGAGTCTAAAGGTTTTTGTAGGGTCCTGCCAAGTGTTTGCAGTAGGGGGCGATGTTGCTACACCTAATCGGACGATACAAAGGGAGAGTTTGAGGCCTAGTTCTAGGCTTTAGGCCTAGCTGTAGGCTTTAGGCCGCTGTGAGTTAATTTTTTATTTAAATGTTTTAATTAAAAGCTATCTCAGGGAATTATAATTTTTAATTTAAATGTTTTAATTAAAAGCTATCTCAGGAAATTATGAGTTAATTTTTTATTTAAATGTTTTAATTAAAATCTATCTCAGGGAATTATAAGGGAATGTTACACTTGTTTAGCCAGGAAAGCCTCACTGAGTCTAAAGGTTTTTGTAGGGTCCTGCCAAGTGTGTGCAGTAGTGGGCGATGTTGCTACACCTAATCGGACATCGGACGGACGGACGGACGATATAATCTATTGTAGGCTGGTTCACTTCGTTCCTACCAGTAAAAGATAACTTGACTTGAGGTAGCCAGGCAGCCAGCCAGGTAGCCAGCCCCCTTAACTATCGCCCCCCTTCCCCTTGCTTAGGCCCCTCCCCTTACCCCCTCCCTTAGGCCCCTCCCTTAACCACCCCCCCCCCCATATCATTAGGCCCCTCCCCTGACCCCCCCCCATATCCTTAGGCCCCTCCCCTGATCCCCCCTCCCTTAGGCCCCTCCTCTGACCCCCCCCCCTCAGGCCCCTCTCCTGACTCCCCCCTTCCTTAGGCCCCTCCCCTGACCCTCCTCCCTGAGGCACCTCCCCTCTCTGTGCTCGGTAGTAGGTCTCCACCAATCAAAGAGCTGTTTATATTATATATATATTTATGCACGACAGACAGTTAGACAGACAAATAATTCCTGGTGGGCAGTGTGGAACATTGTTCCTACCTGTATAAATAAGTTCAAGTGAGGTTTGTGCGCAGGCCACAGATGTTTTCATGATGTTTGATTAGTCACATTACGACATGTTTTTGTATTATTCATGTTCGTGCAATTTGTTAAATTGCCTTGCAAATAAATGTTTTGCTACCTGTTAAAGGCCAAATCTTTTCATGTAATGATTTTTACATGTCATTTATATTAGTTCACACAAACACTCCATCCATCTGTTCCTGGCCCGGCCCCTCTGTCAAATTTTAGAACCCATTGTGGCACGCGAGTCAAAAAGTTTGCCCACCCCTGGGCTAAATGAAATGAGTCGGGCAATTGCGCCAACGGAGACCCCAGACCCTATGAGGGGGCTTTGGGGATGTCATCATATTCCAGGGATCCCTAGAAAGTTTCAGAAGGAAGGTGTGGCTAGGGGCGGAGTGAGTCAGAAGGGTGTATAAACGCCGGACCACTGAACGGGTCCAGCAGTCATCGTCAACTTGAAAACATGAAGACCTGAAGAGCCACTCTGAAGACCTGAAGAGAAGAGCCCAAAGGGCAGAACCCGATCCCCTGGCTAGGGTCGGGTTCAGAGCTTAACCAGTGTAGGGTTAGCGCTATAACCAGAGTGAGGACACATTAGTTCGGAGTGGATACCTCATTAGAGTATCGGGTGTAAGGGGCTGTTACCCCTTTGTGTTAGGTATCCGTAGTATTACAATAAATGTGTTGCCTCCAAGAATCATCTCTCCCTCGTCTTGGACCCACTACAAATGCATACAGGACTCGTATTCGTAAGTATTTGTGCACTTGTACTTGTTATTGTTAATTTTTGTGTACACATTGTGGTATTCGTTAGTATTAGTGCATACAATCTAGTATTCATTATTATTTGTCTATGCATGCTAATATTCGTTAGAATTTGTGTACACATACTAAAATTCCTCTGTATTTGTGTACACATATTAGTGTAGTGACATAGAATGGGTCACTACGGCGCGTAGCGCTGGATACTAACAGAGATAGGGAATGTGGGTGTAATGGCCGACCTGCCGGCAGAGCAGGGTGTGGTAGTCGTTCTGCATGCATAGCATGCAATGCCACGGAGTGGGTTACTAGGGTACGTGGGGCTGGCTGCTGGCAAAAGGGGGCAAATGAGGACGTAGCACCGCGGCCTGCTAACAGGGCACGTGATAGGCCGGGGTAAAGAATGTGGGGCAAAGGTGGCCAAGGGGACACGTGAGGTATAGCCCAGAGCCTTCTGGTGGGTTCCAGAAGGGGGCATAGCCAAGGGCGGGGCCAGGCCATGCCAGCGGCATCAAAGGGAATCCCGAGGATGGATAGGGGCTGTCTGTCAGTGGAATGGAACCCAAGGTGCTATGTCTTCGTCTCCGGCGTCGTGGGTCATACAGCATGCCGGCTGTGTGTGAACAGTATCCAGTGTAGAATAAACGTGTGTTTGCCTCCAACTATTATTGTCTCAGAAGTGACTCACTACACTAGTATTCGTTTTTGAATACACATACTAATATTCGTTAGTATGAGTGTACATATATAGTGACATCGCTGGATGTCACTGTGTTGTGCCGGCCTATCTCAATTTTGTCCCCGTTGATGAAATTTGTTGCAGATGACACAATACTGATTACTGCTGGCCGCTCTCCGGATAAAGTGATGCTAAGCTCCAGGGTGATTTCAATAAACTACAACATCAGCTAGTTGCCCTTAAACTAGTCCTGAATACCTCCAAAACCAAGGTGCTATGCTTCTCACCAGGACTAAAGCAGGACGTTTTTTTTTCTCCTATTACATTCCTTAAATAATAATCATAGATCTATAAGTATCTTGGGGTCATCCTGGATTTAAAACTAACATTTGAACATCACATTCATTATATTGGTAAAAGACAAAAATAAATATTGGTTTTCTGTATCGACACAAGCACTGCGTCCCCCCTATGTTCCGTTTGAAATTGATAAAAGCTACCATACTGCCTCTACTTGATTACTGTGACATCGTATACAAATCAGCTCCAAGCACTGTACCGAAGAAGCTTGACTCAATTTATCACTCGGCCTTAAGATTTGCATTGAACTGCCCATATAGGACTCACCACTGTGATCTCTACATCAGGCCAAACTTATCATCTCTTAATTTTCGACGGCTTGTGCACCAGATCTATTTATTCACGATGACCTTACAAAAAAATCTGCAGACTACATGCTGTAACTTCTCTCTGTTTCGAAAAACAAATGTGACCTAAGGTCTACGCTCATTTACCAGCTTCACATTCCTTATTGCCGTACAAATACTGGGGGAAGGGCCTTTGCTATTGAAGCCCCCATAGTCTGGAATGTAATAGCCAATAAACTGCAACTTGAATCACTACCTATGAGATCTTCACTCAAAACTGCTCTAGAGGAGTTGTACACCCGTAGCTGCCACTGCTATTCAGTGGCCTAAAATGTTTTCGTTCCGGATGACCGTTGCAATGTATGATCTTGTGTTTTGATTTAGTGTGCTGATCTTTAAAGGTACATTGAATTTTTGTTTGATACTCCTACTGATGCTCCTGCTGTTGTGGAGTGACTCATGCAGCCAACTATGGCTACAGGGTTTGGTGGTACATGTTGTTTATGTCGTTTATTGTGAAATTCCGGTCACAGTTCCTATGATCACTGTTACATTGCTTATGGCTTTATTTTGGTGATTTCGAAAAAAAATTGGTTTGGCCATGTTTGTTTGTTGTAGAACGGAGTCAGAATGATGGCTTTAATCTAAGTTGTCTTGTGGTTGTTGTTTGACTTGCATCCCACTTGGATTTTTGCACAGCGTTGGTGTACGGTGATTTTTTTTTGAAAACTTTGCAGTTTTTTCCTGTATTTTTCTGTTTGTACATAGTCACTTTAAGTTATTCTTAGGTTTTTTTCGGTAAAGTCACGTAGGTAAAACATTAAAATAAATAAAAGTAAAACAAAATAAAATGAAAATCACGACGTTTCGGAGGCAACACAAGCTTCAGTCTTCAGGTGGAACCGTCACAGCCACGACAGCTGTATCAAGTAAATGAGAGATTGCAGGAGCTACCACTCCGTTTATATAATGGTTGGAGAGGGGGGGGAAAGGGCCAAGTAAATCACACTTTTTATTCATATGGTAAGGTGAGGCTTAAGAGGGTGAGCCTTTGTTATGGAGAGGTACGCAGGGTGGATGTCTGTATGGCGTCTGATTCAAACTTTTCCATGAACATGTTGGCTATAACTGGTGACAAGGGGGAGCCCATAGGGGTACCCTCATTCTGTTTGTAGAAGGTGCCATTCCAGGTAAAATAGATGTTGGTGAGGCAATGCCTAACCAGCGCAGGTACATCAGAATTCAATCCATGTTGGACTAAGTCCTCAATTATTGTTAGAGTGTCCGGTACTGGGACTTTGGTGAACAAAGATAGCCAACATGTTCATGGAAAAGTTTGAATCAGACGCCATCCAGACATCCACCCTGCGTCCTTCCCTGTGGAAGAGGTATGTGAATGACACTTTCGTCATCTGGCCACATGGCCTCCCAGCATTGAACCACTTCTTGGACCACATCAATTCTAGACACCCATCCATCAGATTCACCATGGAAGTGGAGAAAGACGGTAAACTACCATTCTTGGATATCCTATTTGAGAGGAGGCCTGACGGATCCTTGGGACATTCTGTCTACAGGAAAGCCACCCACACAGATTCCTACTTGAAACCGGATTCCCACCACCACCCATCTCAGAAGAATTCTCTCATCAAAACGCTATACCACAGAGCCCATGGCATTTCTGACCAACACCACCTGGCCGGTGAATTAAGACATGTACATCAGGCCCTCAGGATGAACGGATACTCTGACCGCACTATCCGCCAAGCTGTTTCTCCCACCACACAGAAACAGCCACATGAAACTCCGACCAAAACTATCACGTTACCATACATAGCAGGCGTGACCAAAAAGATCTCCAAAATTCTAAACAAACATAAGATCCAAGTCTGATTCAGTACAGTGCATAAAATCCGTGATCTGATTCCATCTGTGAAGGATGTCGTTCCTGACTTACAGTATCCTGGAGTCTACAAATTGAGTTGCATTTGTGGTGATTGCTACATTGGAGAAACGAAACGTCATGTTTCTGATCATGTCCGCGAGCACAAGTCAGATCTGAAACACGGCAGAACTGATTCTTCGGCCGTTGCCAATCATTGCTACAACTCGGTGGGCTCTCATGAAATTGTCTTTTCCGAGACCAAGGTTCTCTGCAAACCTCCTGGCTACCATCAAAGGTTTGTACACGAAGCCATACAAATATACAAACACAGACATAATTTCAACCGTGATGATGGTTACAAACTGAGTAATCATTGGAAAGATGTGATTAACCATGCACAAAAGATTTAACTACACTTAGTTAGCCAATCTTATTTGACAGACTATTACAGGTTTACCATGTTTAGTGGTTGTCTCCTTGTCACAGGTTGAGTCACAAACCGTACCTCTCCATAACAAAGGCTCACCCTCTTAAGCCTCACCTTACCATATGAATAAAAAGTGTGATTTACTTGGCCCTTTCCCCCCCCTCTCCAACCATTATATAAACGGAGTGGTAGCTCCTGCAATCTCTCATTTACTTGATACAGCTGTCGTGGCTGTGACGGTTTCACCTGAAGACGGAAGCTTGTGTTGCCTCCGAAACGTCGTGATTTTTATTTTATTTTACTTTTATTAATTTTAATGTTTTACCTACGTGAATTTACCAAAAAAACCTAAATATGAATCCTTGCAGTCACGAAAGCTTCAAATCTAGAATCACTTTAAGATGTTTTCTTGTTCATGTTTTTTTTTGTTTGTTGCGTTTGCACCCGATTCAAGAGCCGAAAGGCTCACAGGGTTATACCAAATAAATGAAAGAAAAATGAAAAAACTGTATTGACATCGTGGATACCACTATGGTGTGGATGTAGGGGCCCGGTCAGCACTGATTGATAGCGCTGGATGGCATCGCGCTTGGCGTACAGTGCGAGCTCTGCAGGATAGAGTGTGAGAGTGCTGGCCGCAGGAAAAGGGGTTTCCGGGGGCCATGGAACTGTAGTTGACCCCAGAGGGCACGTGACCGGTTGGGTCTACAAAGGGGTGGCAAGTGGGGGCTAGGGGTGGTCACGTGGTCGGGGTTGAGACCCTTCTCGTGGATTCTGGAAGGTGGTCGTGGCCAGGGGCGGAACCGCAGAGTATATAAGCCGGGTCCCCAGAGGGACCGGGATCAGTGTTACTGTTGTTCATCCTGAAGAATCCTACGTCTACGCTGTACGTCCTGCACAGTCTCCAACACGTGGACCTGGACCTAAGCTGTGGTCCGGTCCATTGTAGCTAGTTACAGTATAATTAGTGTAGTTAGCCTGGTGGTCCACCACCATAGGTTGTTATTCAGTTAAGGGGCAGTTACCCCATGTGTTGGTATTAATAAATATGTTGCCTCCAAAGAGTACGTCTGCGACTCAGTTGAACCCACTACACTTATACTAATATTCATTAGTATTTGTGTACACATACTAATATTCATTAGATTTAGTGTACACATACTAATATTCGTTAGTATGTATGTACACATACTAATACTCATTAGTGAACAATAATAGTTAATAATAAATAACAATAGTACAACACTAAAATGACCATGGGTGTGTGTGCTGTGGCAGTGAACAGTGGTCATGATGCCAGCACCACGGTGTTAACGCCACTCTCACAGCGACTCTCTACAAACACGACGCTTGTGCAATTGCCACCACAGCCTCGCACACTCACATCCACGCACAGACATTGTGTCACTCCGCTGCTGGATGAGCGACTCACCGCCTAGTGCACGTCCTGGGGGGGGTTATTTGACCATACTTCACCGCTCTCGTGAGTGCGCGTTGGCGATGGTTGGGATCGTGAACGTAGAAGCGTAAAGGTGCAATACAACAATGGTTCATGCTGCACTGCCCTCTGCTGGTGTGATGTGTAAACATTTGGCACGAGGGAGACAAAGGAGGCCGGGCGTGGTGCTGGCCACTCACCCCTTCGTGTGCCGTGCCAGCCTTCATAGGTGCTGCTGCTTACTAACAGCACTTGCCCCAGTACACAGCAGTAGGGTTCAGTAGAATATTGAAACTTTTAAACTAATTTTTATTTCACTGATCCATGCTGCTCTCTTTCAGAGTTTGCATTTCTATCCCCGTGGTGGCGTGGATTTTCCCCTGGTTCCTTGCGTTTTCCCCTCCACATTTAGAATCAATTTGCATTCAGAGGATGTGGCTGCTGCTATAAGTATCCACGTGATGAGCCACTTCGTAGAGCTACCATTTGTGATTGTCAGGTCGCTTCCGAAAAAAGAGCGACATGGTTCAGTGGGTTCCTTACCTGGTAAAATAAAATGAAATGTTGATGAAGGTGGGGAGCACAGAAATAAACTGCAACACTACGGGACATGCGGGTGCAAGACTGAGGAACTCACAAGCGAAAGTCAGGAATCTGTTCACCACTCGTTCAAGAGAGCAGATCGTGGTGGCGTCCAGTGAAGTGGGAGGTGGGGGTGCAGATTCATTTTGGATCTCTCTCCTAGGACAACCACCAACAGTATCAGCCTCTTTTAACCACAACTTCGGAATACTCATCATCCATCGCACACGCAGCCCGTGTCTCGTACAAAGCCAGTGTCTGACACAGCCCGTGTCTCACACAAAGCCCGTGTCTCACACTCAGCCAGTGCCTCACAAAGAGCCAGTGTCTCACATACAGCCCATGTCTCACACACAGCCAGTGTCTCACACAGACAGTGTCTACAGTGTCTAACACACAGCCAGTGTCTCACACACAGTCAGTGTCTCACACACAGCCCGTGTCTCACACACAGTTAGTGTCTCACACAGACAGGGTCTAACACACAGCCAGTGTCTAACACTGCCAGTGTCTCACACAGTCCGTGTCTCACTCACAGTCCCTGTCTCATACCCAGACCGTGTCTCGCACACAGCCTAAGCCTCACACCACAGCATGTGTCTCACACACAGCCCGTGTCCCACAGACAACCAGTCTGTGTGTAACACAAAGCCTATGTCTCACACGCAACCCGTGTCTCACATGCAACCCGTGTCTCACATAGACAGTGATTCACACAGCCCGTGTCTCACACGCAACCCGTGTCTCACACACAGCCCGTGTCTCACACACAGTCAGTGTCTCACACACAGCGTGTGTCTCATGCGCAGCCCGCGTCTCACACACTTCCTTTGTCTTACACACAGCCAATGTCTCACAGTCTCATGCACAGACCGTGTCTCACACACAGCCCATGTCTCACCCCCAGCCCGTGTCTCACACAGCCAGTGTCTCGCACACAGCCGGTGTCTCGCATGCAGCCTTTGTCTCACACACAGCCCGTGTCTCGCACACGTCCAGTGTCTCACACACAGCCCTTGTCTCACGTACAGCTAGTGTCTAATTAAAAGCCCGTGTCTCACAAAGCTAGTTTCTCACACACTGCCCGTGTCTCACATACAGCCAGTATCTAACACAAAGAGCCCGTGTGTCTAACGCACACATCCTGTGGTGTGAGTGTTTAGCCGTGAGATGTTAAGAATCTGTACCTGCGCGTCTCCTCCAGGTGCCCCTGTGGGAGAGAGAGAGAGGGATTATGAGTGAAGTCTCTACCCTCGGACCAGGAGCCCATCTGCCACTTTCCGCTCTGTTGTTCTGGACACCCCAACGGCGTCTCCACAGAAGCGCTCCCCACCTGCAGGAAGGCGAGCGAGTCCCTCTTCTGCTGCAGATTGCGCAGGCGATCGGCTGTCTCCTGGAGCTCGCCGATCTCCTGCGTGTGATGAGCGATGTCCTCGTCTATCCGGGACAGCAGCTCGCGCTCCTTCACGGCCACGAGACGTAGAGCCTCCCTCTCATCTTTGTCCAGAGCCTTCCTTAGGCGGGCGAACTTGCCCGTGATGCGTCCCCTGATCCCATCCACCGATTTCTGCAGAGACCCAGGGACCACCGTTTGCTCCCTGAGAAATAGTTACTCCGTATGTGCGTGTGTTCACCGTGGTAGCTATGAGATGCAAACTCCCTTGCCTGGTATCAGCAGGTCGGGGTTTAGATCCTGACCCTGACGCTTGTATATTTAGAGCTTCTTCTCTCTGCAGTTTTATGGATTTTTTGCGTGTCTTTCGGTTTTTGCCTCCATATTTAGAATCAACGTCACTGTGGTGCCACAGCAACGGAGCAACTCTGCCAGCGCTGCTATCCCCCTGCACCCCCCCCCTCACTCGAACGCATGCACACCCCCACTGAACACACACATGCACCCACGTAGGGTCTCGCAGGGGGATCAACTGGCACCCTGCGTTTAAACCCGAGGTGCCCCTCGTGGGGACGTCCCAGTTTCCCAGTGCCAGGAGATTGGCCGACCCCCCCCCCCCAGGCCGAATTGCACTGCGGCCCCGTGAATTAGCTTAACATTGTATGGGCACGACGATCTCGACGAGCACACCGCAGTGAGAACCCACCTAGCACAGGGGAATAGGGCCCTAGGGGGGAGCAAAGCTTCCATTGAGCAATGCGCGAGAGGTGGTGGGAGGGAAAGCGCCTGGGCGGACTACTGACCCGAGTACGAGGAGGAGGGCGAGCGCGCAGACAATGGATGAGGAGGCAGGGGAAAGCAAAACGACAGTTAGGGGCGGGGAATCTGCCTTGCCCTCTGCTCTGCCCTGTCCTATTGAAAGGTAGACGCTCGATTGGCCGGTAGGGTAACGCGATGTGACCCTGGATTTTGGAATTGGGAGGGGATAAAGGGAGGGTGGGAATAAAACGTTGGTCAGTTCTCCGTTCGGCCAACTACCCAGTCAGACTACCATCTGCTCGCAGCGTCCGAGGGACGCTGGCGAGTGCAGCTGCAACTGGACCCCAGGCAGGGACCGTGAGACACCGCGAGTACGTCTGCGAGGTGGGAAATAGCATAAGGGTCCACCTAGGGATTGGATAGGAATAAATTGGGCGCTGCTCACTGAGAACTTTGGCTCCGGGCCACGTAGCATTTTCTTTCAGGCGCGCCATTAATAAACTTTAGCATAGAACACCGACGCCGTGTGATTTCTGTGTGGGTGGGGAAAGCGTAGGTGGAGTGTGAGTATGTATGTACGTGGGACGAGCACGTGGTTGTTGTTGGTGGTTGGTGGTGGTGACTGCGCCCGCGTCTGTGCATATTCATATGGCTATTTTTAGCGCGAGGCGTGGTGAGCAGCGTGCACCGGCACGGGCACGACCGTGCAAGTAGCCACCTGTGCATTAGGGGTAGTGTGCGTGGGGAGCGTGTGGGATAACCCGAGGCGATGGGCAGCCAGCCACTAGCCATGCTCCACAGATAGGACGCTAGTGCGGGGAGGCCGTTCACCAGATCGGTGGCAGCCCGACGAAAAGGAGCGGAGGAGGAGGGAGGAAAGGTGGAGGGGGGCGTTGGCCCCCACATCAATCATCCAATTTGTTGAGCTATCATATGTAATATCCAGGCCGCTCCTGAAAAAAAACTACATTGGTCAGTTTAGCCGAAAAAATAGTTTGGTCTATGGGTGTCTATGTTTAACACGTAGGCTTTCGTGACCAATATCATCCATAATAGAGTTTTTTTGGGTTAGATCGTGTAAATATATAAATGTGTCCTAAAAACCCGCCACGACCCGACATAACCAACTAGTAAGGGTTGTCACATAAACAGAACATGCCAATTCGTTACTAGTACACCACACTGGTGTGTTGGAGAAGCAAGCCACAACATTTGCAATTGGAGTACGACGTTTCGCCAGTAATTATAACTAGCTTCATCAGGCGACAGCCAGGAGAAGGCGGACCTAGCAGGCCGGCGGGCGCATGGTGCCCAGAGCGTGACTGATGAGGGAAAGCCCAGACCTGTGGGCGCAGGAAGATCCCAGGGCGGTGGCACGGTCGAACCAGTGTGAATTTCGCACCGGTCCACGCCAAGAGACGTAACTGTGTCCGGATGGTATTCAAATAATATGTGCCGGACGACGTCACCATCGACCGCGCGAGTTTTTAGGACTATGTTAGTCGGGATATTACAGGTGGACCCTAAGGACTTGTTCTATCTGATAGCCCTGCCAGGCGGCCGGGCCTTTATCACAAGGCTTCATGATGCGATTTGAAGAAGAGGCCACTGTCTTTATTCAAGTTGCAACTTTTGTCTAAACTTGACACTAAGGTAACAACGTGTTTTTTGTACAATGAGGCTCTACCGGACCACGATGTGGAAGTCTGGCTGCGACAACATTACCTACTGCTGTCAGGGTGCAAACGGCTTCAGGACTCGCTGGGTATTTGGACGGGCGCCAGGCAGTGGCAGGTAAGATTAAGAATGGTGGAAGAGGACCTGCGGCACATCCCAAACGCCTTGAATATCGGGGGCAGTAGAGACTATCTGGTGTATGCGGGGCAGCCCAAGCTCTGTAGGAGATGTGGGTCCAGGGGACACCTAGCCGCAGCATGCGAAACACGGGTATGTTATCGCTGCAAGGCGCAGGATCACATCGTGAAAGACTGCAGTACCCCTGCACAGTGCAACCTTTGTGGCAGTGGGGATCACTCATGTAGAAATTGCCCAAAGTCCTACGCGATCAAGAGTTTTTTTCAGGCACACAGTAAGCGGAAGAGTATCAGGAATGAGTTGAGGGGTTTGAACGATTAGTTAGAGAAATTGTATAGGTGGCTGGGGTTAGGTTTTCTAGTGAGGAATGCGGTAAGGCAGCTGAAGGACAAAATCTCATTGTCTCTGGAAAGACGGGCTGCACAGCTCGTCTTTAGGGCACGGGTTAGGGCAGTGAAAGAGGGGGGAAATTAATGAACAAATTCAGATGGAGGAGCTGGGCGAGGCAGTGAGGATTACGTCGGAATGGGGCACCAGGGCAGGATGGAATACCGGCGGTGTTCTATGACAAATTCTGCCTTTGTATAGAGAGATCTTGGAAGAGGGTCTAGTGCCAGAGTCCATGAGGGGGGGGTAATATCCCTATTATATAAGGGGAATGGGGCTCGCAGCGACCTTGGGAGCTGGCACCCAATTACACTGTTGAACATGGACTACAAGATCTCAGCGAAATCCATCGCAGCACGTTGAGGGAAAGTGGTAGGGGAGATAATACAAACAGAACAAACATGTGCGGTACCGGGCAGACGCATATCAGATGATTTTATCCTGCTGAGAGAGGTCATAGGATCCACGATAGAGGGGGGGGGGGCGCCCTTGGGACTCCTTAGTTTTGAACCAGGAGAAAGCATTCGATCGCATTCACATGACTTTGTTTTCCGTGCTGACACACTGGGGGTAGGATAACTTTAGTCGAGTGGGTAAAAAAACTATACCATAGGCTCTCGAACAGACTTCTGATAAACAGGACTCTTTCAGAGGCAGTCCCAGTTAGGTCGGGGGTGGGACAAGGTTGCCCCATGTCACTGGTTTTGTTTTTCATATGCAAGGAGCCCTTTGCCCAGGCGATCAAAGCTAACCAGAGGATCCGAGGGGTCCACATCCTGGGGTGCAAGCGACTAGGCAAAAATAGCCATGTACATGGATAACATAGTGGTTTTTTGCAGAGGTATCCTCGGTGTGGGAGGTGCTGGAGCTCGCAAGGCATTTTTATCTGGCAAAGGCCTTAGTTTTTGCAATATATGTTGGCGTGACTCCTGCGCAGACTGAGGATGGTTCCATTGCCTCGTTGCAGGCCCCTCGCCTGGGCACAGGGGTGACTGTGTACTGCGGTTAACAAATACATTACAGAATACGAGCCAGTCGTTGCACCTATGAGGTGTTCTCGCCGAAGTTGGCGAGAGGGATGAAGATGCGTGTCATGTTTTCGTGCATTGCTCCTTTGCGCAGGAGGTGTGGGAGCTAAGCCAGCATTGGCTAGCCCGTTTTTTTCCGGTCAAAGCTGTAGTGCCAAATATTAGATGGGGACTTTTCTGACGAAAAGCAGGAGGGCCTTGGACCTAGGCGTGGGCCGTAGTGGGGGCAATAAAGGAAGCCCTGTGGAAGGCGCGGCGGCGCATGATCAAGGGTGTCCAAATGACGCCCTACGAGGTGTTCCGCCTAGCCGGAAGGCTGGTTGGCCGAGTGGTGGAGACTGACAGGATAAAAATGGGCAGCATAGCTGCAAATGTGAAGTGACGGTGGCCTCTGCCTCCATAGGGCATGGGATGGAATCAACGGTACTTTGGAAAGTTTTTATGCCACAACACCAGGAATGGAGAAATTCGTTTTTCTTTCCAGTTAACATGGTCTCTTTCCTCGAAATGTGATGGATGAGACGACAAGATTCCTCATTTTTTATTAGCGGTACACTCGGTGTGGGGGTGTGGTATGGGATCCCGGTGTCGCGGAAACTCCCCCTGTACGGGTTGTGGTGGCTGCTGCTGTTACTGTGGTTCTCGACTGTCTGGAACGGTGGACTTTTCATTGCTGAGGTAATAACATTTTAAAATAGTAGTCGTTGTGATCTTCACCCTCTTCAAGCTATAGGTCTGGCAGCATGTTGGCTGTCCCGACCTGGTGGGTGGTTATCCTCTTAAGGACGTGAAGCCGGAATAAAAGAGGACCTCCTAGTGTCTGAATTTGTACAATACATATATTTAGCTGCCGCTTTAACATTCCACGTGATAATCATGTCAGTCATTGGTTGAGCTATCGTTCGTGCTAAACAGTTTGCTTCTAATAAAAAGTTGTACAGCTCGGTGGGCCTTACCTGGTAAAATATAAAATAAGAATATAGTCTCTGGGTCTCTATCTCTGTTTCCCAATATATATCTATGGGTCTCAATCTCCCTCTAAGGGTCTCTCTGTATCTCTATGGGTCTCTTTATATATCTGTGTTCCTATATATCTCGATGAGTCTCTTTGTATTTCCTATGCATCTCTAAGGATCCCAAAGTATTTAAAGGCATTTAGATTATTTGGCTGCTATAAATTTCCATCTGATGAAGATGTCAGCCATTTGGTTGATCTATGATTTGTGACAGTTAGGTTGCATCTGAAAAGGAGCTACACAGCTCACTGGGCCTTGCCTGGTAAAATACTATTCCCTTGTGGTGATTCATGCCCAAGTGACGAGGAGCCCATGGGACTGAGTCGATCCATGCCAAGGGGGCAAGAGAGGTGCCGCTCTCTTCTTGTTTTTCCCCAAGAGGGTGCTGGGGTCGTGGATGTTGAGACTCGGGCACTCGGAGTCCGGTGGGGGACCCCTCGTGGGTCCGACGAGATGTGGCGAGACGTTAACTACTTCGCCTGGTGTACAGTGGGTCGTGGGTTCGACCACGACCCTGATGCCTGCGTGGATTTTTCTCCGAGTCCTTCAGATTTTCCCTCCACATTTAGAATAAACATAATCCAGGTCGGGTTTTCCCACGAGTCCGACTTGGGTTTAGAGTCCAAGGAATTCATTACATGCTGTGAAGAACCCGTAGAGTCCAAAAGAGCGTCTCTGGGTTCAAGCATGCGTTTAGAGTACAATATTTAGTATTTGGATGGTATCAATTTACACCCGATAAGCCATTGCATTGAGCTATCATTTGTGATAGCCGGGTTCCTTCTGAAAAAGAGGCACAGTGGGGCCTTACCTGGTAAAATAAAAGAGTTTAGTCTATGGGTCTCTATTTATCTGTGTCCCTGTGTATCGCTATTTGTCCCTGTGTATCACTATTTGTCCTTCTGTATCTGCATGGGCCTCTATGTATCTCTCTATGGGTCTGCTGCTATACATTTCCACGTGATGATGATGTCAGCCACTTGGGTGAGCGATTATTTGTGACAGGTCGCTTCTGAAAAAAAGCTAAACAGCTCAGTGAGGACTTACTTGAATACATAAAAAAATTGATGTAGTTTAAATAGACTCCGGTGACGCGATTAGGGATTGTGTGAGGTGCAGGTGTGCGGTGTTCGTGCCTCTGCGCCCGTGCCGGTGCACGATCTCCCTGCAGTGCAACAGCTGCACCACAGCTCCACCCCGACAATCCGAGGCACTAAACATCGTTTTTTTTCCACAGCAGTGGTAGACGCCAAGCCGAGTAACCCGGCCTCGCGGCAGACTCGACAATGCGGTAAACGTGCAAACCACTTGAAATTAATGTTGAGTATGAAAGTGAATGATTTAGTTCAAGTAAGAGGCGTCAAAGTTATAAAGCTGCACGAAGTTCACTTGAATTTATTTTGGCCTCCACGACTTCCACACTGGGTGGAGGTCACGGGGGTCAAAAAGCCCGACCCGGACACGGTACCTGCACCTCCTTGCAAGCGGCCTCGATCTGCTTCACGGACTTCTTCACTTTCTTTCTCTTCTCCTCCACGGCTAGCGTCTCCTCCTCTACGCGCCTCTGTAGTGAGAGACGAGACGTCACTAGGGGGAGACTCCAGCCCCTTGAGCCACCCCTCACACCACCCTTCCATCTACACCGACCCCTCCACAGCGAAGGCCCTCATCTCCACGCTGCCTCTCTACGGCAACTGAGATGGGGGGAACAGGGAGTGGGCAAGCTGATGCCTCGTTGTTGCATCAGCCGGTGGGAGCCTGCTGGCTTGGTGTCCGTACCAACTCGGACCCCGGAGCCCATATGCCCACAGCTGTCTAGTTTAGAGGATAAATCTAATATATTTTTCTATCTGGTGGCTGTGATACTGGTCTCAAATATCTATAAACTTAATTCCGTTATATGTCATTTAGTTTGAGTGAGAGCTTGGCATGCAATACATACTGAGGGTGTTTCCGAAAACGCCAACCAGGATATGATTCGTACAGGCAGAGACAGAGATTCAAATGAGAGAGCATGAACACACAACTACATTTTTTTATAAGAGTTTTTTTACCCTTCTATCTGGCAACACAACTGACACCTTTTTACAAGGAGTCATGTTTGCATAGACCACAATATCTGCAGTCATAATGCAAACAAAAAACATAACTCTGATAATGTGCACTGTCCTTGAAGTTGATTGAAGGACAGTGCACATTATCAGAGTTATGTTTTTGTTTGCATTATGACTGCAGGTATTGTGGTCTATGTAAACATGACTCCTTGTAAAAAGGTGTCAGTTTTGTTTCCAGATAGAAGGGTAAAAAAACAATGATCATATTTTTACTGGCAAATGAGGTTCCAATGATACTTTTTTCCATCAGATGTTGTTCTGCCCAGTGACAGAATTGGACCGTTTATGTTGTGGTGTCTCGCTCTGAGAACCTCACCTTCCGTGTCTCGTGCTCGTCCTGTAGCGTCAGAACCTTGTGTTCTTTATGTTCTCCTGTGATGGTGCAAGTTGAGCAGACCCGGCTGCTGTCTACTGTGCAGAAGAATTCCAGCTCCCTGCAGTGCACCAGGCACCATCGCGCCTCCAGGTTCGCGCTGGGAGCCACCAGGACGTGGTCACTCAACCTGGGATTCTCTAGATGAGGCTTCAAGTGTGTCGCACAGAAGGACATCTCACATCTCAGGCAGGTCTTCACTGCAGGGGTCTGGCCGTCAGTGCAGTGGTCACACACGACGACCGCGGCCATCCCGTCTCCAACTCTGAGCTGCTCCACCAGGATGGCGAGGGCCACGTTCCTCCTCAGCTGGGGTCGCACAGGGAAGGTCGCTCGGCACTGCGGGCAGCTGGAGGCAGAACGAGTGTCCCCAGCTCAGCGTGGAGGGGCAGACGAATGTGCCCAGACAGATGGATCAGCGCAACTCATTATCCACACTCTAACTGGAGTCGCGCTCGCCATGACCCATGGCTTTGCTGGGACCGCTCGCTGTGTCTCGGAGACCTTGACCAGGACCTCTCTCTTATAGCGACGATGAAGAAGGAAGTAAAATAATTTCATTATCGTCACTGACATCATGAGTCACTGCTTGGAATGTGAACCCACGCCCCAATGTGCGCAAACAGCAGCCTCAAGGTTATACAGCTACTGTACACATTATGACAGTTAAATAAATGAATGCTGCTATTAGTATAAATCGGTGAGGCTGAGCTGCGTTGGCTCATTCGTGAGATTAGTGTCGAGAAATAAACTCACCCTTCTACAGCAAGTTTGTGGCAAGATGTTATCTCCCTCGCCTGATATACAGGAGCTCGTGGGTTTGATCCAAACCCTGACGATTTTTGTAAGTTTGCGTCTCTCTCTGACCGTGGTCACGTGAATTTTTCTCCGGGTCTGGTATTTCCCTCCACATTTACAATCAACTTCACGCGTTTAGAGCAGATGGCCGCAATACATTTCCACGTGATAAGCCATCATTTGTGGCCAGGTCACTTCTGAAAAAGAGCAACAGCTCAGTGAGCCCTGCCTGGCAAAACAAAATATATAGTTGGCATATTTGTTGATATCTCATGATGTCCTGTAACTCCATCTCCGTGTAATTACCCCAATGTGGCGAGTTTTTGAATGCCATCGTGGCATCCGAGATGGAATTTTTCTGTAGACTTCCGTGACCCATCCTGAAATCTCGAGCCTTTTGCTCTCGGTGTGAATCTATCACCAACTCTACCCGCCTCCATCACCCACTGCTGGTATGTCACCGTCTCTCCCTCTCATTTTGTCCGAGGCTGCATATCCACGTGCCGACCATTCACAGCCGCACCGACCGCTTACTTCACCATCGTTATTTCACATTCACATGCACGGCTACGCAACATGCATGCACACACAGCAACAAAAACGCCCATCGGCGTTCACCATGATTGTGTTATGGAAAACTCGACTTATCAGAGACGGATCTTCAGGTAAGGGCTTAGTCCGGTGTTTTATTAAGGGCTTTCGCTAGATGGCAATAAGGATGCAACGCTTTATCCAGCGGTAGGGGTCCTAGGCTCGATCTTTCACTCGGACCCCTCACTCTGTCTGTTTTTTAACACAGCTGGCTGCCCGGTCTGCCTCCTCTGCGCTGGCCGAGGGTTCATCCAACATCGGCCGACCGAGGAGCGCAGCCACACCTAGCTCTTACGCCGGCCTTTCTCCAGACTCCTATTCCCCTACCCCTGGCCCTAACTTCCACCCTTCTCGTTCCCCGTTCACATCACGTGCTGCAGCTTAAGTACCCTTGCGAGACATGACATCATCCCACCTGAAGGTGCGCATGACGTCACATCCCATGACGTCACCGCAGCTGGAAGGCGAGCGTGACGTAATGTCCGCAACTACTCCTCTACAATTGTAACAAATAAAATACAAATCAAACTAAACTATTTATTTTACAATATAATGCCCCACTGAGCTAAGAGCTTAATTTATTGGAAGTGACCTGCCCATCACAAATGATAGCTCAACAAAGTGGATCATGTTGGAAATGTATAGCAGCCAAATAATCGAAATACTGCACTCTAGGGGTGGAGTGTCCGATAGTACAAAATACCAAAGCAGGTTCTTAGTTTTGGTGGGGTTGATGGTAAATCCCCACATCTTAGTGGCAAGCTCCATGTTCAGCAGCAGCGCCACCAACTCCTTGCCTGAGTGAGCAGCAATTACAAGATCATTGGCATACAGTACATAACAAGGTTGAGCAATAGGGAGCCATCCCGTGACCCCACCTGCGCATCGATCAGCCTCCCATTGCATCTGTACCAGATATAAATTCCTCCAGTACAGCTATTCAAGGCTACACGAACTACGTGGTCTAAATAGATGTTAACTAATGTGGGAGCCAGAGGACATGCCTGTCGTACCCCAAGGTGAACTGGGAATGGCTCCGACTCCCAGTCACGTAGTTTTACCTGGGCACTCTCACCATCATGAAGGTCCTTAATAATCGTGAGCAGAGGGTCCGGGACTCCGAAAGCACGAAGAACAACCCAGAGCCCAGGCCTACGGTTGGTATTATAGGCCTTGACCATGTCAATAAAGCAGAGATGTAGTTCCTTTTTGAATTCCCTACACCTCTGCTGTAGCAGACGGACAGAAAATATGGCATCTGTGCAGGACCGCCCTTTCCTGAAACCGCAGTGGTGCTCCGCAAACCTCTCCTCAGTGTGCCTGGCAAGGCGATGTTGAATAATGCTTGCCAGGACCTTTCTGGCTCACTGAGCAGTGATTACAGTTGGTATGGTCCCCCTTCTTAAAGAAGAGGATCACCAGGACATCATTCCAATCCTGAGGAGCCCGTCCAGTGTTCGACTGTTGTTATGATGTCATGTAGGGCAGTCTGTGTACAAACGTCACCTTCCCTCAGCATTGCACTTGTGAGATCATCTCTGCCCGGTGCCTTTCCTGGTCTCAGACTGAATCACCTTCAGTAATTCTTTAACAGATGGCACCTCAGCCAGCCACTCACAGCGGTTGACTTCTTCCAATTTTTGAGATATCGCAGCCTCAGCACAGTCATCTCCACTTTGTCCAATTATTTTTTCCAGGTTGAGGGATTTTCCCTCCCCCAGGACCTCACAGAAATTCTCAGCAAATCTGACAACCTGTTCTTGCCCCTAAATATGGTAATAGATGTGGCACTGCAGGTTACCCTTTTGATGGAGTTAAAGAGCGATTTGTAATCCCGGGCCATTGAGGCAGACTCATCTCCTCAGCAACCCGCAACCACCACCCATCCTTGCAGCGCCTCACGGCTCTCCGAACCTCCGAGCTAAGGCTGTGGTATGCCTCCTCATTCTCTGTCGTGGGATGCTGAAGACGATGAGAGTGGGCCTGTCGCTTTTTCTCAGCCAGCCTGAACACCTCTGTCAGCCAGGATCTCTGAGGAGGTCTGGACCGTGTACCCAATGCAGTAATTGCAGCTGCATGTGCCACAGTCCTAAACCTCAGCCACAAGTGATGATGAAATTATTGTTTGCAACTTTCATAAGCAATCTGAGACCATGCCACAATGGGTTTGAATGGGGTCTTCGGTGTACACCCACCACCGGAGTGGAAAAATAGCAGGCGGATCTTACAGATAACAAGTCGATGGTCAGTGGACAGATCAGCTCCACGGTAGGTCCTGGTCTCAAAGACATGGGCCCGCATCCGCTGTTCCATCACTATGTATTCCAGCAGATGTTTTTGCTTGGACCTGCAGTGTGTTAGTAATTACAAGCCAAATGAGCTGCACAAAAATCTACCATTGTTATTGAGCTGATCTTGTCCATGCCTTCCAATCACCCCAGACCAGGTGCCAGCATCATGACCAACTCGCGCATTGAAGTCACCCAACAAGATTACTCTATTCCGAGGGGCCACTTTAGCTAGCACCTGTGACAGGAGGTCATAGAAGGCATCGTGGACTCATCGGCCTTGCCTGTATCCCTCCACGGATGTTCGTCTTTGGTGGGGGCATAAGTAACTACTACGACCACCACTCCTCGCCTCTGCTTGATAGGAAGGCGAGCCCAAAGTAGCCTGAAGCATACAGATTCCCACACCTCAATGCCACGTTCCCACAACCCCTTCATTATTTGTTGAAAAGAAGAGCCACTCCCTGTTGTTTGTCAGTCTCCTACCCAGAGTAAAGGACTGTCCACCCCTCATATTGTCAGGAGCCAGATCCGGTCCACCTGACCTCCAGAATACCAAAAAAGATCCAGGCGGTACCAGTCCAGCTCCCGACAGAGCAGTGGCAGCCTCTCCTCTGCAGTGAGCGTTCAAACATTCCACGTGGCCACCCGTAGTGGTTTTTTGATGTTTTTGGAGGAGCCCCGAGGGTAAGGATTGAGTCACACTCACTCACACAATCACTCACACACACACGGGCCTAAGGTCTGTCTCTCACTCACCTCTTGTATAAATCCATCTATGTCCCGACTGTATACTACCGTAGATGAATCTGTGTGTCTCTAGTCTGGGTGTTTCTATATGAAGCCCGGTGTGTGCTGTCTGTATACTACCATATATTAATCTGTGTGTCTATAGTCTGTGTCTTTAGTCTTTGTATCTCAATATAAAGCCATCTGTGTTTCGTCTGTATTGTATATATGCTTTTTCTAAAAAATATATATTAAGAGTATTGGCAAATTATTATTTTAATCGCATTACATAATGATCACACACACACAATCACAAACACATTATCACACACACATAAACACACATACATACCACTCCACAATGAGATCACACACAAACGTAATAACACGTACATACCCCTAGACAACACATACACACACATTAATCATAAAAAATAACACATTATTTATTACGCTTAGAATTTTTTTTGTTAATCACAATTAATTAGATATTTACATATTTAAGTATATTTTTTTTATTATTTTATCAATATTTTTAAATATTCTTTTTAAATCACGAAATATTAAACAGGGTTCAACAGACATCTGGCACACCCCTGTGCAAGGGACGCAATTGGATGGCCCCCGCAACATTGACAGCAGTGGGTCTTAACCTTGACTGCAGCCTTGCACCCCTTTGGTTCTCGATCGTAAAAATGTTTAATAATGTTACGTGCCCGTGCTTAATTTCTAAAAATTCTGGCCACGTCTCACACCCCCCAGAAAGGGCATCTCGCACCCCCAGGGGCTGCGTGCACGCCAGGTTAAGAATAACTGCCTACAGGGACCGATCTCCACTCATAAACCAACGAGACCCCTGAGGCCTATGGATCGCCTCCTTCTAAGGACTCCAAGGTCAAGGATCTGTTCGTGGGGTGATCGAGTGGGTGTTTGAGTGAGTGGAGGTTGGTGAGTAGAGGTGGGTGAGTGGAGGTGGGTGAGTGGGTGATTGGGTGGGTGTGTGGGTGGGTGCGTGCGTGGTGGGTGTGTATCAGACAATCTGAGTCGTTAGAGCTGTTTTTTCCCCGTTTTGAAAACTCACCTCTTTT